CGGCGCTTGCGCAGCCAAATACAGAGAAGCCGTTCTTTGTTGAAACGGACGCCTCACAATACGCAATTGGCGCAGTCTTAAGCCAGGAGACTACGGATGGGAAAAGACACCCCATAGCCTATGATGGGCAAAAGATGAAGCCTGCCGAACTCAACTACAGCGTGTCCAAACAAGAGTTATTGGCCATCAAATACGCGCTGAACGCGTGGAAGCATTATGTGGATAATGGTCATCAAACAACGATTCTGACTGATCACCAGAACCTAGAGACCATTCCTCGCACAAAGGTGGCTTTGAAGCGACTAGCACGCTGGTTAGACGAGTTTGGAGAAGTAGATCTCGATATCAAGTATCGTCCCGGCAAAGAGAATGCTGCCGCTGATGCGATTTCGAGAAGAGCAGACTGGGTCAACAGTCTGAATGAGGTACCTTCGACGCTCAGCGAGTTGCGTCGATGGTCCCTAAGTAATGCCACGGAACCAATGCAGACCATTGCGTCCGAGGTTTCGCAGTGGCGGTACAACCCCCGCGACGGTAAGTTGTACCACCAAATTGCGGGTTCAGCAGCGGAGGACGATCTCTTTGCGCCGTATGTTGAGCCAAAGGACAGGCCTACGGCGCTGTGGGAAGTCCACGGAGAGGGGGCTCATTCAGGGTGGAGACGCCTGAAGGATATGTTTGTCAGCCATTACTGGTGGCCGCGCCAACTCGCAGACTTGGAGGCATTCACCAAGGCATGCCCCACTTGCCAGGTGCACAAGTCTACGGCACCAAACACCATCAACGAACACAAGCACGTCATTGCCAGCAAAACTCTCAGACCATTTTACCGATGGGGAATTGACCACGTAGGTCCCTTTGACAAGTCAATTAATGGAAACAGGTACTTAATCTGCGCAGTAGATTACGCGACTTTGTGGCCTATTGCACGAGCAGTTCCCAATGCAAGTAGCGAACATGTACTTCGTTTCCTGCTCGAAGAGATCTACCCCGTCTTCGGCCTGCCCAAAGAGATTTTTAGCGACAATGGTAAAGCATTCTTGGCCAACGTGGTCACGGAACTATTCCTACAAAGTGACACCAGGCATCGAATCGCCACGGCTTACCACCCGCAAACGAATGGTAAGACCAAAGCGTTCAACGGTCAAATGAAGAGGATGCTCAAAACGTTAATGTTTGAATGAGGGGTCCCTCGTGACCGATGGGACAAACTGATTCCGATGGCCTTGACGGCAGGCAGGTGGCGGACGCATTCGAAGATGGGTGTAAGCCCTTACGAGGTGGTGTTTGGCATGCGCCCACCCATCAATGTAGACCACTTCGTCGCCTTGCCATGGCATGCGATGGTGGAATCGGCAACCGAACGGGTATCTTTGCAAAGACACTGGCAAACTGTGGCCGGCGCAAACATGCGCAAGATTGTGGAGCAGGAAGTTTGGCGCTTTAATTCAAAGTACGGCAAGAATGCCAATTTGTTTGACGTAGGCGACTACGTCATGAAAAGGAATGAGGCAAGACA